CTCACGTCCTCTGGCGCCCTCTGCTGTTCAGTTGGGAGATGGCCACGTGCAGAGAGCCCAGCAGGGCAAACCGGCTGCAGTCAGACTGGGGAGTAAAGGTGGTTCAGGGGTACCCCTGTGATCCCAGCACTCTGGGAGGCTGAGTCAGGAGGATAACAAGCTCAAGCCCAAGGTGGAAAGTTTGGAGACTTAGCGAAGTCTTGGGTTCAATCCTCAGCACCGCAAACCAAACAAATCCGGTTTCTCTGCGGAGAGGAAAGAAGGAAATGATGGGGTGCTGCCCCCCGGGTGGGGGCCGAGACAAGGTGGTGGCTGCAAGTAAGCCAGGAAGTAAGCGGCTGGCTACGGTGGCGGCACTGGGGGAGCCCTGGCCAGCTCTGTAGGACTCCACAGGCTTCAGCAACGGAGCTCCGAAGGGTTTGCCGCAGCAAGTGAATCCAACACTTGTGCGTTGCGGGGGTAAACCAAGACCTAGATTAGGAGCTTGTGGACGCTGAAGCTAGACGCTTCTCCTCTCTCCCAGCCCCTCCTCCTCCTTCAAGTTCGTCATGCTCTCGGGGACCCGGTCGAGCATCCCCATGCGACAGCCGCTGTACTCAGAAGGGTCCCCTCGGCTACAGCGCTCGGCTCACCCAGAGGTGGGACAGGGCGGCTCGCGGCGCGCTGTGGGTCCAGACACGGGGCTCTGAGAGGTGAAACACAAGCGCGCGTGACATATTTTCTAGCTGTGCAAAAATCTTTCTACTTTCTTCTTTGTGTGATGGTGAGCTCAGGGCAGCACAAGGCCACGCGAATATGTACGTAAATGTGCACAGTTGCCGCTGTCTGATGAGCAACGGGCCAGCTACGCAAGGTGATCGGATGGGGCAGGGTTACGGCCGCCGTGCTGCTTTGCGTATTACGCGTATTACGCTCTGTGATGTTCTTACCAAGACAGAATCGCCTAGCAGGGCGTTTCCCCGAACACAGCAGTGTCCGGCGGTGCCCGGCTGTGTAGATGTACAGGTGGAATACCTCCTGCTGCTTACGGCTGAGTAACAGTATTGCTACGTGCCTAAACCGTCCTCAGCAAATCACAGCTGTGAACTCTTGAGCCTCTTACGGTTTTTACAGCTTAGTACTCTGTGATACCATTCTCACCATTTTACAGATAGAAAGACTGACACCCAATAACTTCCTTCGTTCCACAGATAGGAAGGGCAGAGACGGGATCGAAGCCCAGCTCCTCGGGCTCCGTGGCTGGGCTCTCCGTTGTTGCTAGACTGGCTTTCTCTGAGATAAACAGGAAACCAGCTCTGGACTAGAGACATAGCCTGACCGCCCCAGAGCACCCTGAGCTACGGCCACTAGGGTCAAGTTTAGAGACACAAAGCATCTTTCAAAATAGCATCCCCGCACTGATATGAAAAAGACAAGAGGGGCTGGGGATTTAGCTCAGCGGCAAAAGCGCCTGCCTGGCAAGTGCAAGGTCGTGAGTTCGGTTCCCGGTACCAGAGAAAAAACAAAAACAAAACAAAACAAAACAAAAAACCAAAAAAAAAAAAAGACAAGAGACAAGCAGATAGCATGGGGGAAAGCGAAGCCTTGGACCCTTTGCCAAAGATGTAAATTGGCACAGCCATAGCAGAAAACAGTATGGAGCTTCCTCGTAAAGAGCGACCATACAGTTCAGCTGTCCTACTTCCGGGGATATAGCTGAGGGAAATGAAACCCCCATTTCAGGAGATATCTGGACTCCTACATTCTCAGTAGTCAGGATACAAAAACAACGCAAGGCCCTGTACTGATGGATGAATGAGTAAAGGAACTATGGTATACAACGGACGATTTATTATTCATTCATCAAGAGGAAGGAAGTCTTGCCAGTAGGGACAAGAGGGTTCAACCCTGGGGGCATTTTACTAAGGGAAGTCCGCGGAGCAGAGAAAGACAAATACAGCGTGAAGTGGCTCATATCTGGAGCCTAAAAGTCAAATTCACAGAAGCAGAGAGTAGAATGTGGGCTGCCGGGCGCTGGGAAGAAAAAGATAGGGAGGTGTTGCTCAAAGGTCCGTAAGATGCGTAACTTCCTGGGTCTAACACACAGCGCAGTATCGATACGCAATAACAATATATTTCACGCTTGACGTTGTTAACACAGCTCCGAAGCGTCCTCAACACGCATGTGCAGAAGGGTCAGCGCACGACGTGTGTGGGACATTTGTGAATTGGGACCGTTCCACGTTATGTGGCAAACCATCGCACTGTACATCTGGAGGATACACACTTTCTACTTGTCAATTATATTTATTTATTTAGTTAGTTTTTTTTCCGGTACTGGGAATTGAACTCACGCCCTTGCGCTTGCCAGGCAGGCGTGCCGCTGAGCTAAATCCCCAGCCCTCTACTTATTAATTATACAAAAATGGGGAAATGTAAATAAACTGAAAAAACTACCTCGCCACCGCTTTCGCCTCCTTAGCCTGCCTCTCTTCAGGGCTTTCCCACACTGCCAAATATCTACCCCGATGACCACTTACTTCCTGTCGTCCTCCGGCTCCTGGCGCTCCGGAGGTCTCAGTACCTGCTGGGGTTTTACAGTTGCTGGCGAGTTTAGGGTCCCCAGGTCAGAGGGGTGTGCAGCTGAGGAGGTGCAGGTGCCTTGGAGGTGAGGCCTTGGGGCTTATCTGCGAGGGTCACACGGAGGAGGGGGCGGCCCGTGTCCTGGTGGTGCCATCCTGGAAGCCGCGTGAGGCAGGGCTCTGGGGAGACCGGACGGGTCTCCGAGGGGACAGGGAGCCCTGGCGGTGTGGAACGGCTGACTCTCCCCAGCGCTCCTAACCCATCTCCGGGGCCCACGGCGCTCACTGTACGGGGCAGACGGCAGACTCACTCCGAGAGGAGGACTTGGGACGCTTTTAGGCGAAAGAAAACAAAATCGGGAAGCCAGGCTCCCAGCCACGTGGGCAGGTGGCGCCGAGGCCTGGAGATCCTGCCACAGACCCCACCCTGTGCTCGGAGTCCCCTCTCTGAGGACGGGCCGCTCATCACTCCTGCTTCCCGGAGCCCTTCTGAGGACGGCGGGAGGCACACGGGAGGGACGGGGCTGCGGACAGGGCCGGGCATGGAGCCGCAGCCGCGGAGGATCAAGCTGTCCTTCTCACCGTGACAGCCGCTGTGTCGCTGCAGGAGGCCCCAGAGCCAGCCCTCCTAACTAGGTGGCTGCGTCACCTCCCCGAAGGTGGCAGAATGGATCTGGGGGCCGGGCCAGAGACCGGAGTCAGGCGGGCCTGCGTGTGGACCCCGACCCCCCGCGGACATCTGGGGTGTATGTGAGCTGCAGAGTCGAGCTGAACTCCGAGGCCGGGGACCCGGGAAACACCAGGGTCACACAGCTGTTGGAGCTGTCCCGGCCAAGTCCCGCAGGACAGCAGCAGAGCAGGCCGGGCGCTGGGAAAACGTCCACAAGGGTGGAGAAAACACGGCTGCTGTCAGAGGAAGGGCCTCAGTCACTCGCACTGAAGCTACCCCGGCGTTAGCTGAGAGGGTCGGGATTTTAGGAAGCAGAGAGGCCTCTGGGATAGGAGGGTAGTGCCCAAAGGCAGATGGCACCTGAACTGGCTGGGGCTGCAAGCAGGATGCCATGCACCTAGGAGGTCAGGACGGATGTGTGTGTGTGTGTGGTTGGTACTGGGAATTGAACCCAGGACCTTCACACTGACTTACATTCCTGGCTTTTTTTTTTTTTTTTTTAAATTTTGAAACAAGGTCTCATTAAGTCACTGAGTTACGCAAGGTGGGCTTGAACTTGCAGTTGTCCTGCCTCAGCCTTCTCGAGAGCAGGGATTATACATGTGCACCACTATGCCCAGCTCAGAATACATTTGACTTAGGTTTTAACATACAGTCCTGAATGTGAACCTTTTGTCAGCATATAGTTTGTTCCCGATTAACCTCCTCCCACCTTCCTCCCTTCTCTCCTTCCACCCTTTTCTACTTAAATTGAGGACATCTCAGGACGTTTCCTTATCAGCCACTCACCTCTCTGTACCTCAGTTTCCTCACCTATAAGATGGGGTCTCCAGAGTTCCCACCACACAGACAAAAGCCTTTAGAACAGCGTTCGGTGTTAGTTTCTCCTATTCACACGGCAGCAGCGATCTTGAGCAGGTCGGATCTAGGGAAGCGAGGCTGTAAACTGACTTTAGGAGCACCACTGTCCGCTTATTTCCGGGAACTAGCTAGGACTTGTCTCCGCTTTGGATCCCGGGCGGCATTCCCGAGCCTGACCACGAGGGGGCAGGCGCGTTCTTTCACACGCCTCTAAAATAATTATACTTGCGAACCCTCCCTCCCTCCCTCCCTCTTTTTCTTCCTTCCTCC